GGTTGCGAATTTGGACACGGAATGAACACCATTGTGTTCAGGCCAACCTCTACATTCCGTAAACATGCTAAATGAGCGAATCTAGACACTTTCTATAAATAGCATTTGGGACCGAAATGAGATTAACACAAAGGGTGTGATAGCGAGGGTGTTTGGTAGACACGGTAAGCTATCATCCGGCAATATTGAGGGACTAGTCTCAATATGCGAGGGTTCTTGCCAAGCCAGTGCAAGACAGAGCAAAAGAGAACTAAAAAGCCGGGCCAAGTATGCTTGGCCAAATAAACACTTAGGAATTATGTCCTTATGCTCATCCGGCCAAGTACAAATGCCAAGTTCAGTTTACTAACACTTGGACAAGAGGGACCAATAAAGGGAACTAGCAGTACCGACCTCCTGCTGTCATGGTAGTAAGGAAAGAGTGTCCGTAAGGACTAGCTGACAAGTATCTTTCGATACCCAAAGTCACATTTGTGACACTCTCCCCCCCTTAGGGAAGATCGATGTCCTCATCGATGTATACCCGAGTTTAGCAAACCGTCAAGGAAACAACTCCGAAAGTTAACGAAAAGCAAACTATGTGGGAAACACACCGACTTAAATGAGTTATGGAATGACTTCTCCTCTATGTCCAAAGACGTTAAGACTCAGACACACTCCGGCCGTTGCCGACAAGAAAGTGACTAATAGAGTTAGCCACCCTTGCTGCTCCGAGTACCACTTGACTTACAAAGGAATGATACATCCCTGCCCACAGGGACATAAGGAGAAGGCCAACTTCCCCTGAGCAAGAAATCAACCCTGTCGGGAAGATTTAGACAACTATTATAAATTGGCAGATTAAGTTGTTTACACGACCACACCCCTTTTCAAAAATGAGTCATCAAGAGAGAGGCGAGGACTTGTGATCAGTCTATAATAGTTATCCCCATGATTATGGATTGGACCCATGCACCGAAGTGCCGAAGTCAGCCTGCCAAAACTAACCCAAGTACTAACGAACGAGAGAAACGACACTTTGATTTAGAGAAATATATTACTTTATTAATTTGCAAGATTTTTACAAGAGTTACAAAAACTAATCTTTATTACTATTCTCATACTCCTTGACAAGCTCACGAGTATGGGTAAGATTACTAAGAGGTTCCCAAGTTGATTCATAAGTTGGGTAACCTTTCCACTTAACTAGATATTCCTGACATTTGGCACATTTAAGCCAGTGTGAATCCAAAATAGCCTCGACTTCATATTCAGGTTTACCATCCACAATGTCTGGCGGTGGACAAATCTCCTGTTGACGTGCAACATCCATAGCGTAAGGAGCCAATAAATTGGCATGAAATACATTATGAACATTGGACATCTTTGCAGGCAGATCCAACTGATAGGATACATCACCAAGATGTTTTAACACCCAATAGGGTCCAATATATCTCGGCAAGAGCTTCCGAGACAAAGAACCCTTAACGTTCAAGTTTCGGGAAGATAACCACACCTTATCTCCCACTTGATAGGATACATCCCGATGATGTTGATCCTTAACACGTCGATACCTATCCTGAGCTTTGCTCATCGCCTCAATAGCTCTAGACCAACCTTAGCGTGGCTGCTCTGCATAAGTTTCAACAGCTGGGACCAACACTTTGGACATTAGTTTCGGTACAACAATTTGTTGAGGAACCCTGTGAGCATTTCCTTGCAGCATCTCCCATGGAGAACAGCCAATAGTGCTGTGAAATGTGTTGTTATAACAAATTTCTGTTGTGTCCAAATGCTCAACCCAGTCGCGTTGGTCCATTGCGACATAGTACTGTAGATAATCCTCAACTTGAGCATTCACGCGTTCGGTCTGCCCATCAATCTGAGGATGATAAGCCGTACTAAACTTCAACTTGGTACCGAACAGCTGGAACAGTGTGCCCCAAAACTTCCCCGTAAAACTTCCCCGCTACATCACCTTCCATACTAGACCAGAAAAATCCCTTTTTTAATGAAGCCAGAGTCTTTCGCTTCCCACCATGTCCCACTGCCGGAACATCATGATGTTCCCGTAGAAAAAATTGCTGCAGATCCTTAGAGGGAAGATACAATCTTTCTTGCTTATAGAATATAAGCCCATCCCGAACTGAGAAGTGAAGCTTCGCATTAGTGTGACTAGCAACTTTCGCTGCTTTGCTACCAGGGCTCTACTTCAACAACCCCGCACGGCATATGGAGGCTCTACTTTGCCAATGGATCACTTCCATATGAAGCTCAAACGTCTTCTAACCAGTCCGAACTAATTGCCGATATTGCCCAGAATTGAGCTTGATGACTCAACGCATCCGGAACAATATTGTCTTTACTAGGTTTATATATGATTTCAATATCATATCTAGCAAGCTTCTCTTGCCAACAAGCCTGCTTTGGCATAAGCTTAGGCTACGTAGCAAAGTAGTTTAGTGTGTTACTATCTATATAAACCTTGGTGTGTCCACCCAAGTAGTGTCTCCAGTGTTCCAGGGCTGATACTATAGCAAACATCTCTTTCTCATGCATTGGCCATCTTCGTTGGGTTTCATCCAATTTCTTGGAATAGAACGCAACGGGACAACCATGTCGCCTTAGCATAACACCAACCCCTTTGTCACAATCTTGCTGTAACATGGCACCAATAGCATAACCAGATGCATCATAATGCACTTCGAAGGGTTTATCAAGATCTGGGATCTTGAGAACAGGAACTATAGTTAGGATCTTCTTCAATCATACAAAAGCACGTTGGCAAGCTAGTGTCCAATGAAATGAAATACTACTCTTCGTCAACTCAGTCAACGGAAGAGCAATTCTTGCAAAATTGCAGACAAACTTGCGATAGTATCCCGCCAAACAGAAAAAGGATCGAACATCTGATACAGTCATCGGGACTTCCCAAGACTTCACCACTTTCACCTTCTTTGGGTCGACTTCAATCACGCCACCACCAACTATATGTCCAAGAAAGTTTACGCGCAATTGACCAAAAGCACAATTACTTTCCTTAGCATATAGTTTGTGTTCGTGCAACTTCTGAAACACCAGCTCCAAGTGTTTCAAATGATCCTCCAACGTTTTGCTAAAGATTAGAACATCATCGATATATAGGACAACAAATGTGTCCAAATAATCTTCAAATATTCCATCCATCATAGTGCTGAACATTGCCAGAGCATTGCATAACCCGAACAGCATAACAAAGAACTCATAAAATCCGTACTGAGTCTTAAAGGCTGTCTTCTCCACATCCTGATCTGCCACTCGTATCTAATGATACCCAGACTGCAAATCAAGTTGCGTAAAATACTTAGCCTTTAAGAGTTGGTTAAACAAGTCATCAATGCAAGGCAAAGGATAACTGTTCTTAACCGTGATCTTGTTAAGTGCCCGATAGTCAATACACATCCTCATGGTTCCATCTTTTTTCCATCCTCTGGAATACCTATATCCTTGCATTATGCCACTAGTATATTAAAATAGTGTCAAACTCTTTTTGGTTTTGTTTTGTATGTTGGTCTTGGTATTGAAATGCTAAATGCTTTAAGATTGTTCCTATGTCATTCCGTGCTCCTGTCCTTTTACTCTTTGGGTTGTACACTTAGGAGTCACTCTGTGCTTTAGTACCTTCGCTCTTTAACTCTATGCTTAGAAGTTTAGCTCTGTTCCTTCATTCAGTGCCATAAAGCTTTGAAACTTGGGTTTTACACCACTATCCTTGAACATGTGGCATGTGACATATGGTACATGAGGGTTTAAGTTCTGCTTTGTGGTTATTCTATGATAAATCATTATAGGATAAAGGGTGAAAGTCACATATATTACAGTTGATTAATATCACCATTGACAAACAACTTTTATTGAGCCAAAAATAACTAAAACCACTAAATCTATTAATCTTTCCAATGTATATAGTAATTATTCCATGTGAGACAATTATATTGTTATTTCATAATAGCTTCCTTCATCAATTGTCAGAAAAGGGTAATTTCTTGATTTGGAAGACTTTGGAAAGAAGCTTCGGAAACGAATGCCAAATTGCATCACCGACTCAAATAGCTCTTAACGAAAATAATGCAATTGCTGAAAGGCATTATCACAATTGTCAACATGTCCGAATGCGCGTTTGAAAATATTCAGGAGAACACTCCAATCCCCACAAGTGGCTGCACTCAAACCATTGTACCACTGCATCGCATCCTTTGGAAACACATAGGAAACTCATGCAAACGTCAAACATCATCCCAAGAATGATATGTGGCAATTACTGTGAAATGATCAAACTAATGATACACATCATTCTTAGGATTCCATGAAAGAACTCCAACTGAACGTGAGGATTGGCACCAAGAACAGAAGGAGTTGTACCACATGCCGTGAATGCCACCATCAACTGAGTTTGGTTGTTCAATTACAATCACATGGCATCAAGCAATTGCACCAACTGCTACTCCAAAGTCAGAGGAGGAAACTATTGCTCTACCATAAAAATGAATGAAAAGGAAAGAACAAAAGAAGGGAAATGAGAAAGAACTAGAAAGAAAGGGAGATCTAGACAATGGAAAAATTAGATTTAAACAAGAATCTTGAGAGGGAAGAACAAAAGAAAAAGAATGGAAAACACTAAATCAAGACAATGCAAAAATTAGATCTAAACCAAAATCCCAAATCCAAACACTCTTTAGGGATAAGGAAAAGTGCCCCTCACCTCCACTAATGTGAGTGTTTCGAATATAAAAAGGGAATATAGAAAATGTTTAACACAAAAACCCTAGCTTATATACAAGAGCGAGTGGTCCGAATTAAAACTAATCCGACAGTTACCAAAATCCCATTATATTAATATTAATATACAGCATTGTAGCCGTACACTTGGCCCTCACAAAGTTATATTTTTTGACATTTTTAAATCTTAAAAGGAACTTCTCCTAATTTGAGACTAATTGTTTGCATGCTACAGATTTTAGTAACAAAAGACAATGAAAAAGTCAAGAAGCCACACAAGCTTGTAAAAATTTGAGAGGACAGAATGGAAATCATGGTTTAGTCTTATGACCATTGTTGGTGGAAGATTTTCTACAGAGGAGCAATGAAAAGTAGAGCAGGATTCGGTAAGCAAGAGCCATGGCAGCCAGAATCCACAAATCCATCCATTTCCCAGAGCTCGAGTCCCAGCTTGCATACCTCTGCCGCAGAAAATCTCTTCTACTCGAGTATTCGTTCTCCAAAATTCCCTGGAGAGAGAAAAAAGAGATGAATGAGACCACTCAAGGCTTTCAGTGGTCGTGCAAATACCTCGACAGCGTACGTGTGGAATGCAGCATACGAGGCAGGATACTTCCACACAGTCTTTGGAACTTGATCGAGTTCTCGAAAGTGTCCGCCAGAGAGCATCATCAAAACCTGCAACAAAAGAGAATATGTTCTTGGCTCTTTGATTGAAACTTCCAGACCTGGATGGTTGTGGCGACGAGGATGGCAGCAAAGACGTTGAGCGTGATGGAAGTGATGACGAGCAACAAGGCCTCGACGATCGCCAGGCACAGAAAGATGGTGACGACGAAGTAGACAAAGCGGCCGAATTGTGACTGGAAATCCATGAAGAAGTAGCACACGGACGAGCAAACAGCCGAGACGAGCAGCAAGTATGGAGACGATGACACGAAGTTTGCGAGGACGAACACTCCCGCGCTCGTGTGATCGTTCTTCCTCTCGCGCCGATAAACCTGAGGAACGATCGATCGATCATACAAAAGCTAGAAGAGAAAGCTACCTTGATGTCTTTAGCCAGTGCTGGAACGCCGGCGATGGCGAGAAGTGAGAAGAAAGAGACCATAGCAAAGATTGCCGAAGCTCGCACCTGGACAAGTCACGATTTTAGCGAGACGACCACAGATTTTCATGGAAGGATCGAACGAACTCACAGTTACAAGCTGTGGGGAGTCGCCAAGGCCGTAGAAGATGGTGGCTATGCAAACGGAGAGTGGCAAGTAGAGAAGAAATCTGAGCCAGAAGTACGTGAAACACCTTGACATGTTGAGGAACGATCGATAAGTCACTGCTGCCACTCTGGTCGTGAAGCTGGCTTGGCCTCGCGATTTAAGAAATGGTCCCTCCTACGTGAAGCCAAATGAGAAAAGAATGAATGGAGAAAGATCAAAGCTAAAAACCTTTTCGGAGAGCTGATGGACCAAAGCTTCGACAACGGCGGCTTCGTTCGATGCGTTGTAAGTGGTTTCTAGCGTTCTTGTGATTACTGACGCGTCCAATCTTCGCCATGGCGAGGCTCCTTGCTCATAGTCCTGTCAAGAAGACTTTTTAAGTAAGTTGGAAGAACTTTGAAGATTTCTTGCGAAGGAAAGTTTGATCCTTGTGGAAGAACACGAGAAAAAAACTTGCTTGCCTGGTTAAGCTTGGTGATGCGATTTACTTTCTCAAACTCGGCATTTAGAGCTCGAAGGAAATGGTCAGTGGGATTTTGCAAGGACGGGCAAGGAAATCCCGCACTGGCAAAAAGCTGCAAAGGCGATTGAACAGTCAAGACAGAGAACAAAGTTGTCACTGAGAATAAAACGGCAGTACCTCGAGACAAGCAGCAGTGTCTCCAAAAAAGATAGCCTTTCCTTTGGAGAGCAAGCAAATGGTGGTGAGGAGATGGAACACCTCGGTACAAGTCCGCTCGGTGGTGATCACTACGGTGCAACCATTGCTCGCAAGCTTCTTCAGAGAAGCAACCAGCAGGAACGCTGAAACACTGCTCCAAGGATCAAAAGAGTTTTAAGAAAGTTCATAGATACCTATCGAGATTGTCGATCGGTTCGTCGCAAAAGATGAGAGTCGGCCTTGTGAGAAGCTCCATGGCTATCGTCAGTCGCTTCCTCTCGCCGGGAGTGAGACCCTTGACGAGAAACGATCCTCCGACGGGTATGGAGCCATAGCCTTCGAGCTCCATGCTGGAGATTGCCGAGTCCACCACGGCCGTTTTCTCGGAGCACGGCGTACATTTTGGAAGCTGGAGAAGAGCCGCGTTGTAGAGCGTCTCGCGGACAGTCAGAGTTTCGATAAGTTGCTCGCCTTTGCTCACGTAGGCCTAAAAAGAACGATTTTTCCCATTGCAAGCTTATAGTCAAGTTTGATGATCTTGATCTAGAGAAGAAAACTTACGTAAGTTCCATACTTGAGATATCTAGGCCGACCGTTGAGCAGTACCTCACCATAGACTTTGGCATGGCTTGGGAATCGTCCTGAAAAATAAAAAAATATCGCAAAGTTAGCAGAAGTTTCACTTCAAAGAAGCAAACAAACGAACAAAGTTAAAAAAGAGTCACGAACGAAGAATCCTGGCAGAAAGAAGAGCCTAGCATCGCAGCTAGAAAAGAAGAATCCAAAGAGAGCGAGAAAGAACGAACGGAAGAAGTAGCTATTGCTGTGGCAGATTAAAGAAAGCTGATGGAAGAAGTAGCTATAGCTATGGCGGATAAAGAGAAGAGATCATACCCGCGAGAGCTTTTAAGAGATGGTTCTTGCCACAGCAGGAAGGACCCATGATCGCGGTGAGCGTCCCTGGCGTCGCGTACCCAGTCAAGCTCTGGATCACCTTGTTCTTGCCATCCAAGCTCACCGTCAAATCCCTCCACGCCAAGCTCGCCCATCTCTCCAGCTTGTTCCCATTTGCATCCAGCGGGCTCACTCGCGACGAGGATCCACTCCCGCCCGAGCTGCTAATCTCTCGCACAAACCCACCAGCGCCGCTGCCACCATTGCTCCCCCTCTCCACCACGAACGCCGCTGGCTCTGGCGGATTCATGATGGTGCTCGTGCTCATCACGATCTCTCGGCCCAGTGGGCTCGGCCCCGGGCTCCTTCGCTGCCGCCGGAGTGCTTGCCCGGCGCTCGAGCTCGAGCTGGCGCCGCCTTGTTCTTGCGAGCTTGGCGACGGTTGTGGTGGTGGTATCGCTGTTGGTTCTTCCATTCTTTCTTGCTCCAATGCTTGGGCTCTTTCGATCGATCCCGGGAGGGAGCCCAGCTGAAAGATCAGTGATCAGTGGAAGCGCCTCGAGAGAACGAAAGGCCGGGGAGAAAGACAGATTTGGTTTTTCTGGCTTGACCGACAAAGAAGAATGATCGATCGCTATGGACTTACTGGGTGTGATTGGTTTGTTCTTCGTCTTCGCTCTATGCCATGCCTGGAACACGATCAAGGCGAGCTCGCCATTGGTGGAGGAGGGGATTTGACTGTTCTAGAACAAGACAAAGTTTTTTCATGAGCAAGAAAGATCTTTCTCCTCTTTTCTCTTTCTCTCTCGCTCTCTCCACACACTCGCGCAAAAACCCACCTGGAAGAGATCTTCGGCCAATCAAGAGCTCACTCGCTTGCCATGTCTCGATCGATCATCCCATCGATTGCTGAGAGTTAAGAGAAAGCCAACAAGGAAAAGATAAAAACGAAAGTGTCTGTTGCGAAGGAAAAGACGATCTCTCTCTCTCTCGATCAAGAGCTTTAACATGTGTTTTGCAAGTGATATAAGAGGATCACGAACAGGGATTCTTCTTGTTCTTGGGAGATGTGACAAGTAGAGCAAGAAATTCTAGAAAAACTCTTAAGCATGGATGATAGATGGATGGGTCGCATTCAAGCAAGAAAAGGTGTAAAAAAAAGTGGTGCAGTAGTAGTAGCAGTACCTCAAGGTTGCTGCTGCGTTGCCATAGCGGGCCAGTTCCTTGTTCTTTTTTCTCCTTCTTGTGCCAGAGAGCTCCCCTGCCCAAGAACAGTATGATCAGGTACCAGTAAAGACTTTTGTTACAGGCGTGTCAAAATCACAACACGCTTTGTTTGTTCGCAGCGCGATCACCTTCTGGAATTTCTTCTCTTCTGGTTATCGAGGCAGTGGTGTTCTGGGGATTTCAGCTAGCGTCCAACAAGAAAGAAAGTGATCGAACACTTTCACTGATCGTTCAGCGCCTGATTAAGAGTGGGGTTTTGAGATCTTCTAGTCGACTCTCTTTTGGAATCCAGACTTCCGGAATCACTGGCGGTGATGATCATAAGAGCGGCAAGCCAGCATTCATTCAACCGGGAACATAATGATGGCTCCGTCCAGTTCGGACTTTACCGTTGTCACAGGAATATTCGTATGAATAAAAGTACTTCTATTTAGGGTACCCTTTATTTTTCTTTACTAAGATCTTATGGGAATGTACAGGACGATATACTGGCAAACGCAAGGTTTGCCAGCCATGACCCGGAGGGGCTAACCTAGTGGTTGACAAAGTCCTAGGCTCGATTCTGAAAACTCAAAATTAGCATAATCGACCAGAAAACCCTCGCATTAAAGGTACCACCTTTTATTTGTAAACGACGAATTCCAACTCAATTAAACGAGATTATTTAGGGATGAATTTTTATTATTAAAGCAAATGTCTGGCCTAACCTCTCGGATCTAACAGTCAAGCTTCAGAAGGATGACAAGGAGAATGACAAGGATTCAGAAGGAGAATGAGAAGTTTCGGAAGGAGACGGGCGAGCATGGATGAAAGACCCTCCTCGATGGTAACTGCGAATTCCCAGGACGTTTTGTTTGACCAAAGCTTGTCCAGGGAAAAGGTTGCCCAGGCACGAGCCATTGACAAGTGTGACAAACTTGGCATAGTATCCTTCACCTATGCCCGCTTTCTCGAACATAGAAGCCCACTCCTGCAGCCGCGCTCTAGTGGCCTTGCTGACCTTCTAGAGACTGTGACTATGGTAGCCAGGATGACCTCCTATGTGTGTGCCTGGATGAAGAACAAGCAACAGCTAGCAGCCAAGTGGGTCCAGTGCTAGGAGGAGTGTTTCCCCGCCGATGTACGATGGCCATATGGTGACATTGAGGATTCGCCTGACTCCGTGTACGCAAAGGTGGCGAAAAGGTGGGACGTGAACGAGTGTATCAAGACATCTCCGATTCGGAGAACGAACCCTAGCTCAAACATGTTGTGGCGGACAGTGTTCGTAGTGGATGAAGCTAAGTGCTTAAGCAGGAGGCCCTTTCTATCTCTACGAAGAGCATGTCGTACGTTGGCACCTGGTGCGCTAATGGTCGTTATGGATACAAGTGCTACAGTCTACGAAATGGGGAGAAGATAGAGCGAGGCTCTTGAGTTATAAGCTCCTGCATCCGGTATGCCATGCTGGGGGCATGGATAAGATCTCCGTAATCAGTAAGAAGTTTAGCGAGATTCCTGAGTGGCTTAAAGAACCAGGAAGGTGAATCAAGCAGGGCTGTTGAGGCATCGAAAAGAGGTTAATTAAGCTGCTTGGATTTAAGCTCCTCAAGGAGATGACGTCGTGGAATTTTGCCAATCTCCCGACGACGACGTCCTGTAAAAGGGCTATGAAGAACCCGAATACCTTGCGGTCATTTGCTTTGCTTGGTTTACAGATTTCGCCTCTAGTGGCAGGATCACCAAGAGTGCTGTGGGTTTCGCCATTGGATCCTCTCTTATCTGCTGCAGTTTCTCAGCAAACCGGAGACGCTGGCCAAGTTCTACGGTCCTTCAATGACTATCTACTACATTGAAAAACGGGCCTAAATTGTGTTCAAAATCCTCAGTAAGCTATAAGGGTGTTTTTGAGGAGCTGAAGCCCCGGCTGAGAATCAAGCAGCTGCTATCTCATCTACAGCATAGTGTCGACCTTCTTCAAATGCTTGAGCAGCGCGGTTTTACCACAGTCGTTTGGGTCGATACGACGAGCACGTTTTGTGGCGGCGCCGCAAGAATAGCCAACAGTATCAGCTTGGCCAGTTCATCGCCAACTAACGTCACGTAGTGATTTTGAGGTCTTCTACTTCCACCTTGTGGAAGACGCCCCAATGCAGTTCACATCCAGAGGAAGCAGGACAACTTTACGTGTGAAGGATGGCCTGAATGTCAAGAAGATTCCGACGTTCGAGATCGCTCTGAAAGCCATAACAGACGAGCTGCCGACTGATGCAACCAAGAGTGACCAGATGGAAGCCTTTTGTGCAGTTATAGGGAGAGGCAAGGTGGTGTGCCCAATCTTCATCCTGGACGGGGCCAACAAGCTCAAGGACTCAGGGAAAAATATTCTCAAACTTTTCAAGTCACTGGTGAAGCAGGACAGGAAAGCATATCTCATCCTGAGTGACTTCTTCAGATCGTGGCTGGAGAAGTTGTTCAATCCTGAGCACTGGAACGCATTTGGAGTTGGATGTTTCAAGGAAGAAGAGGCACGCAAGTTTTTAATGGCTACTTGCCATTGGGACTCTGACTGGGCTGGGAATCGGTCCGCATGAATTGTTGAAGCTACATCCTCGTGACCTCAAGAGCTTCGGATCTAAATCTATCGATCTATCTATCTTGTGTTTCTAGTCTCGCAGTGTGCCCATCGAAAAGCATGAGACATTATGCAAATGCAATGCAGTTTATTACTTTATCAAATTCTCCACCTTGTCCTCGCCAAATCCATTTCAGTAACGTTTTGGAGGAACGAGGAAGAAGGACGCTAAATGTATAGTTTATAGTCTCATCATTCTTAGATTGCACTATTTCTTTCTCTAGGACGTTACCAGCAGTCCTTACAGGAACAGCCACCACTTATCTCAAAGTGGTGAAACTTGCTCTCGTCTCGCAACACAATCCTCCTCCTCGTTCTCTCGGAGATGATCTTAAGAGCTGCATGACAATCCCAGCAAGCTCGAGATTTTTTAACCACTTGCAGCTCCCTACCGTGTGGCGTGGAGATCAATCCAAGACCGACTGCCAGCATCTCGCTGTGGTGGCGACGGGAATCCTGTTCATCCAGCACACATCTAGCAAGCTCTCGCCGGATCTCTTCAGCCCTGGGATGAGACGATCCATCACCAGCAGAGAATTCATGTACCACCTTGTCAATCTCGATGAAACTCTCCAACTCCTTGGACGGAACGGCTCCAACAAAACCATCCTCGAGTTTGTCCCTCCCAGCAGACGAGAAAATGCTCGACAGCATCACCAGTGCCTGGGAGTTTCCCACTAGGCCGTGGAGCTGGAACGAACGCTCCGCAACACGGGCTGCCCGATCGAAGTCACCGTGAACCTTGCAAGCGTTGAGCAGCGAGAAGCACACGGCCTCGGTTGGAAGGCACGGCATCGCAAAGAAGAGCTCCTCGGCCTCCCTCAGCGATCCTGCTCGAGCCAACGTGTCCACCAGGCACGAGTAGTGCTCCACCTTTGGAGTGAAGTTCGTGTAGTCTTCACGGATGGACGAGAGCTGCGAGACAGCATCCCGGCTTCTTCGACCGCCATGACTGATCGAGAAAAGGATGCTGACGAAGCTACTGTCGTTTGGAGTGACGCCTTCCAAGGTCAGGTCCCAGTAGAGCTCCATGGCCTGTGTGTCGTGTCCGTGTTGGGCGTAAGCTGCGATCATCGTGTTCCAGGCCACCACGTCTCGAGCAAAGATCTTGTCAAACACTGCTCGAGCCGATGCCACTCGGCCACACTTCCCGTAGAGGTTGACGAGCGAGGTTTTCACGACGATGTCCGACTCGATCTCCTGGGACAGACTCGAGTGAGTTGCATGGATCTCGCTGCCTCTCTCCAGCGCGGCCATGTCCGCGCAAGCGTCTAGGATGCTCACCACCGTGATCACGTTTGGCTTCACAAGCTTTTCGTCCATGATCCGCTCGTAGAGCTCCAAAACTTCTCGCCCGCGTCCCTGCTGAGCGTACGTCGCGATCATGGAGTTCCAAGTCACGATGTTCCTGGCAGTGATCCTGTCGAAGGCGTCCCTGGCGTCTTGGATGCTGCCACACTTCCCATACAAGCTGACGAGGGAGTTTCCCAGCATGACGAAGCTCTCGTATCCGGCAGCGGCGATTCTCTCGTGGATCGTCTTGGCCTCTTCCAAACTTCCACACGCCGCGAGCATGCTGACGAAGGTGACGTGATCCGGCCTCACTCCTTCCAGCTCCATGAGCCGAAAGATCCGGAACGCGTTTCGCTCACAACCATTTTGAGCGCAGGCCGCGATGAGAGCGCTCCAAGCCACCACCGTTCTCTCCGGCATCGCATCAAACACCTCCTTGGCCTGCTCGAGCTTTCCAAACCTCCCATACATCGTCAGCACGGCAGTCTGGACGATCAGACCCGAGTCGAAACCGCAAGCTCTGATCCGGCTGTAGGTCCTCTCCCCCTGCTGGACAGTCGAGCAAGAACTTAGAAGAGTCACAAGCGTAGCCTCTTTAGATCTCATACCTTGAAAGTCCATCTCGTGGTGGAGTCTCATGGCTTCTCGAGTAAAACCATGCTGCGCGTACGCTCCTAGCATCGAGTTCCAGCAATGCGAGTCTCTTACCTCGAGCTCGATCGAGTCGAAAATCTCCCTGGCAGCTCGCACAGCTCCACACTTGCCGTAGAGATTGACGAGCGCGGTGGCCACCACCAAGTCGGAGTGGAGTCCACTCTCTACTGCCACGGCTCGGACGCTCTGGCCGGAGGAGAGATCGCCGAGATCCGAGCAAACAGTGATAGCGATGCTGAGAGTGAAGCTATCGACGCGAATCCCCTCCAGCAGCATCCTCCAGAACAATCCAAGCGCCGCGTGAAAATGCCCATTGTGGGCATACGCCGAGAGGATCATCGTCCACGAGTACTCGTTCCAGCGCTTGATCCCATCAAACACTTCCTTGGCCTCTTCCACAAGCCCGCATTTGCCATACATTTCCACTGCCAGGTTCTTGAGGAATCGGAGCTTCTCGTGGCCGGTTCTTCCCACGAATCTCATCGAGTTGCCCTGGTCGCTCTTGACGATGTGGGCGTGGACTCGCCGCCCCTGCTCCGCGTCCCTGGCCAGCGCGCAACGCCGGAGCAGCGCTGCGTACGCCGCCGAGTCCACGAAATCCTGGCGCTCCATCGCGCCTACCTCCTCGCGCAATCCTAGATGTGAATCGCCGGGGAGCGGCTGCAGCGCCCATTCCGCTTGGATCGCGGCCACCATCGCTCATTGATCGGAAGAGCCCTAAAATAAATGTGGAGTAGAAGAGTTTAACTGAGCTAAAGAGTAAATAGCGAAAAGATCCAGAAAAGCCCATGAAGAGGATTGATCCATCCCAAGTCCTCTCCTCTTCATGGGCTTTCCGCGCCATCCTCCTCTTTGCCTGCTTAAGTCATGCTCTCTCCCAAAAAAATATCGGAAAGATCATGATCATGTCCTTGATATTATATTTTGATATGCTAAATTCTTGCCTCTTGCAAGGATACCTTTTACTTGGTGGCAAGCCTAAGGATATGTCATGTTGGTGCTAGTCTGATATATATAAGTTTGTTTATTGTGCCCGATCTGACCTTATCTATATGAATGCAATGTATGGATTTGTCCCTCTAGCTTTCATCTGCTTTTCGCCATCAGACCAAAAATGATGGTAGGGATGTCTCTCAGGTGCTGGTACTGGGAGATGTAAAACGAGGGAGCACTGCTTGCATCCCGTGGGATGCGTGGTCGATAGTGTCGGCCGCGTTTCACTTCTAGTCGATGAGCGCTGCAGCAGTAGGCAGTCATTGTAGTGCAAACCCATTCTAGGTCGAGGCCCAGTCGTGTTGTCCAAGCTCTCACCTCGCTCCACCATCCTCCATTTCTCTGGTACATGAGGCTTTAGCCTTGGCTATCTTGGTGGTCACGTTGCAGTGCTTTGATGAAGGAAATTGTCTGTTTCTATGGCTGGATAGTGCATTCTACCTGCTGATGCGATCCTTCACTCCCTGCCTCTTTGATAAAGAGTGTAGACCAGCTACTTGTACATGGTTGTCTCAGTTACTTGCTCCCTGGTATCGTGGTACCCCAAAAACCATGAGTTGTGTTTTGGAGAGGTTGACTTGCATACCTGCCTGCACATAAAATTGTGCCACCGTATCAAACAATTGCTGCATCATGAGGGCATCTGGAGCTGGTAGCAGAAGATCCATGTAGAGAGTCTCAAGTGCATTAGAAAAGGGAGAGTGTGTCCACTTTAAGGTTTTTGGTGTTTGGCAGTTTGGGCTAGAATATCTTAGTTTATTCTATAAAATAACTGGTTAAGATATTAATTAAATGTTTTTTCTGTAAATATAAAAATCAGTTTAGATGTTTTTTTTTTACCTTTTTTTTTTCTTTCTACCAATTTCTTCAAGAGTCCCAACAACACTGTACTACTTGGGCTGTTGAAGTGTCCTCTAGTGCTCCTATGAATCTCAAAGTTGCATCCCCCTACCATTCTGCAAGAAGCCCTCATTAAATTGCCAAGAGTTAGCTTTTATTCCATTTTAGAGCAAAATGTGACCACACCAAATGGTTTTTAGGTTTGCCACCACAAGACCATTTGATTCTGAATGTTAATGCCCTGCTATGTGAGAGCCAAAATTTGGTATTGAGGTTTGAGTTGAAAAACAAGAATTATTTTCTGGAGTGGATTGATAAACAAGGGTTGCAAATTTCCCTCCCAACACTTTGCAATTAATGGATCTAGACATCTTGGTGGGCTCACCTCAACTATGTGATGGCAGATTATCATAAAAACTTCCACAATCAAGCTTCAATCCATGGGTAAGCAAGGCTTGTTCATTCCTATCTGCTCACATGCCACATTGTGCTTATGTAGAAACTTTGTTCCTTACAGCTGCTACAAGCTGGCTGCCCTACTATTGCAAGATGACATCATTGAGCATATTGGATAAGTAATACATCTTGCAGTGCTTTTATAATATTACTGTCTTCCTTTGTGACATTAACATGAGACTTTGTCTTATGCTTGTTGGGACATTCCGAGGATCTATGTCCTGTCTCTCCACAATGGAAGCAATGACCTACATTACTTGTTCTGCTAGGAGCAGGTTTCGCAAGTTGCTGCTACTTGTACTTATTAGGAGGAGGAACAAAAGGTATAGGACTAGAAGAAGCTACTAGTGGTCGCCAACCACCACCACCTTTATTAACCATTGCTTATGAGCTTCCAGGGCAGAACTTTCCTTCCACCCTCTATTTCCGATCACCTTGTTTATTCCCAAAATTCTTATTCTTGTCCAAGGTACTAACATACGGCTGTTGATATTTTTCCATGAGCGAGTGACTATGACTAAAGGAAACTTGCTGTGCTGCCCCCTTACACTCTAGGTACGTCTTTGGCTTAAACTTCAAAACCTCATTGCAAGAAAGTGAACTTAAACCTTCCAGGAAATAATTTTGAGCATCTTCATCACTTATATTGGCAATCATAATGCACTTTTGAACAAATACATTAACGTAATGTATAAGGTCCCCTTGTTGTTTTAACCACCCTAGCTCCGCACGAAGTCTTAGACTAAGATCATCCGGCAAGTATCCCTTACGGATACGAGACCACATCTTGGTCCAACTTCTAGTTTGCCCTTTTTCAGCACACACCTGGCGCCAGCAAGTTTTGGCATGATCGGTGAGAAAGGATTACACACATGCAACTTTTGTATAATCATTTATATTTGCTGCTATGAAATAGTTTTCCATATTATAGGCCCAGTCTTCCAAAACCTGATAGTCCCATATGCCTCTAAAATTGGGTGGTTTCAGAGGCTTAAACTTTGAAACTCATGCAACCGAGGGCGATTGCAAAACTTCATCATCCTCAAAATTTGAAGAAAAAGTTCAATTGCTCAGGTAGCTTCTTTTTTCCTCTTCTTGCCCCCCCCCCCTCTCCCTCTCCCTCTTCCCCTTTTGAGGAACACACGCTTTGGGCTTTCACCCCATAGTATCAAGAGTTAGTCTCTAGGATAAATTCAAAACTTATTAAATATAGAATATCCTTAGATTGCAAATTTGGATACGGGACAAACATCATTGTATTTAAGACAATCTCTACATTTTGTAGATATGCTAAATGAGTAAATCTAGACACTTTCCATAAATAGCATTTGGGATTGAAATGAGACTAACATAAAGGGCATGATAGCGAGGGTGTTTGACAAACACAATAAGCTATCATGTAGCGCTATTGAGGGACTAGACTCAATACGTGAGGGTTCTTGTCAAGCTAGTGCAAGACAGAGAAAAAGAGAATTAACAAGTTGGGCCAAGTATGTTTGGTTAAATAGACACTTAAGAATTCCTTCCTTATGCTTATTCAGCTAAGTACAAATGCTAAGTCCAATTTACTAACACTTGGATAAAAGGGGCTAATAAAGGGAACTAGCAATACCAACCTCCTACCATTATGGCAGTACAAAGAAAGTGTCCGTAAGGATTGGCCGACAAGTATCTTTTGATACCCGAAGTCACATCACAACACTCTCAAGATCACCCACGTGCACAATTAGGTTCACCCCATCCCTTATACATGCATTTGTACAGCCATTGCCAATGAAAATTGGCTTTGCCACATGACAGAAATGTAGATGGGAATGTATGGCAACAGACCGAGTAATAGAAGATAAACTCGAGTCTATATCAACTAATATGGAGAGAATAACAAAAGACCTCTTATTTTAAAAAAGAGTTTAGAAAACAAACACTGGATGAACTGATGCCAAGTGAACCCCTTGATGATACTCTCGAAAGAAAGATGGAGGGGTTACTGATTTATTCATGCAAGGACCCTTTGCTATTCACGTGACTCTTTATTTCCCGGAAGCATCTCAATGTCCAAACCTTCCACTATAGCAACACCAATATAATGTTGTTAACGCCAAAGTCTCCACGTAGGAATGAAGGTTGTCAATCTAGAAAATGCTAATAACATCAATAAGTGTGACAAACTTCATCACCCAGCAATAGACATCACGGCTACAACCATATCCTCGCCCTTGTCCTTGCACTCGGGCAGTAACAACATCAACTTCCATTGGAACGGGGCTATCTCCCATAAGAAGTGGAGCTAAAGGACGTATAGCAACAAGAGGAAGAGGCAACATTTCATAATATTGTGCCAAGTAAAAAACATTATTAAGGGTGGCTAGAGTAAGTGCATGTATAAGTCTTACAAGATCTTGATAAAGTACTAGCCACAACATTCCTAACTTGATCCGCTCTAATATATTAAGCTCCACACGAAGCAAAGGGCTTTGGAAATGAATGCCAAATTGCATTATGAACTTAAATAACCTTTAACAAAGATAATGCAATTGTTAAAAAGCATCATTACAATTATCAACATGTCTAAATGTGCATTTGAAGACGTCTAGGAGAATGCTTCAATCCTCATAAGTGGTTACGCTTAAACTATTGTACCATTATAATGCTGTCCTTTGGAGATACGTGGGAAATTCACGCAAATGCCAAGTATCATCCTAAGAATGATATGTGATAATCACTATAAAATGATTAAACTAATGGTACATATCATCCCCAAGATTCCCATGGAAGAACTTCAGCCAGACTCAAAGATTGGTAACAAGAGCAGAAGGAATTGTATCACGTGTTGTGAATATCATCATTAATTAAGTTTGATTGTTCAATTACAACCACATAGTATCAAACAATGGCACCAATTGCTACTCTAATATTGAAGGAGGAGGAGGTTGCTACTTTGCCATGAAAATAAACGAAAAGGAAAAAAAAAAAAAGGAGAAGAAATTGAAAAAATTATAAAGAGAAGGAAATTTAGACAATACAAAAGCTAAATCTAAAGTAGAATCCCAAATTTAAACACTCCTTAAAGACAATCAAAGTTGCCTCTCACTTCCAGCAATATGAGTGCATGGAATATAGAAATGGAAGATAAAAATTAACCTAAAAACCCTAGTTTATATACATGAGCGAGTGGTTCAAATTGAAATTAATCCAATGGTTATTAAAATCCCACTTTGCTAATATTAATATATGATATCTTAGCCATACACTTGGACCTCACAAATACTAATTATTATTATTATTATATTGTTAATATAAGTAAATAAATTTTAAATATAGGTGGTGAAGTTGAAAGGGTTGACAAGTTGGTCAATGTAGACTATGAGGAAGAGGAGGTGAGTTACTTTCTTTACTTTCCTCAAGCT